TTGAAAAGTATTTATGAGCAGCAATTTATGTTTGGCCAAACTTTTTAAAAGTAATTTTAAATGTATTTTTCTCAAAAGTAATTTCAAAAAAGTACTTTTGAGGAGAAACTACTTTTTTCTTCTCAAAAACATTTTTTTTTTCTTACAAAAATTTGGTCAAACCCTTCAATTTTGAGAAAAAAAAAATTTAAAAATATTTTTGACTTTGAATAAGCTTGGCCAAACATGCTAAAAATCACCCAACCTTATATATCAAATAACTGTATATGCATTAATGACTTTCTCAGCCAAGAAGTCTGATTGGAATAGGCCAAAATTTATCTGAAAATTAACAAACCATTAATCAAAAGAGAAAGCCAGCGATTGCCTAGGGAAGTGGCATCTTTTCGGAGTCTGAAAGGGGCAGCGTTGACAGCAGTTTTACAATTTAATTAAGTACTCTCTCGGTCTATAATAATTAATTTTTTTGGCTTTTTTTTGGGTTCAAAATAACTGGTTTTTTTAGATTTTAAGAACGGCAAAGGGCCAAATATGACTTTCTATTTTCGAAAATAGTTTAAAAATATCTCTCGTTATACTATTGGGTTATCTATACTCCTGCAGTCATACTTTGGGTTCAAATATACCCCTCATTTAAACGGAGAGACAGGTATCATCGTCTTGTTGCTCAATTCTAAATATCTCCTAATTAATTAAAAAGACTCATTACCCATACCCGAAAAATAATTTTTTTTTTTTGTAAAAACTGAAAAAAAACAAAAAAAAAATTTAATAAAAACTGAAAAAACAAAAATATTTTTTTTTCCAGTTTTTACACAAAACTGCTTTAAAAACTGAATATTTTTTATAAAATAATATTTTTGTAAAAACTGGAAAAAAATCTGAAAAGCAATTAAAAACTGGAAAAAACTGAAATATTTTTAACTAAAAACTGGGAAACAAATATTGTTTTTTCAGTTTTTACAAAAAAAACATTGCTTTAGAAAATTGCTTTTTAGTTTTTTTTCAGTTTTTACAAAAATATTGTTTTAGAAAATATTTTTCAGCTTTTTTTAAAGCAGTTTTTTTGTAAAAACTAGAAAAAAAATATTTTTATTTTTTTCAATTTTTAGTAAAAAATAATTCAGTTTTTTCCAGATTTTACAAAAAAAATTACTTTAGAAAATCCATTTTCAGCTTTTTTTTGTTTCAGTTTTTACAAAAATAATATTTTAGAAAATATTTTTCAGTTTTTTCTAAAGCAGTTTTTTTGTAAAAACTCAGAAAAAAAAATATTTTCGTTTTTTTTCAGTTTTTAGTAAAAATAATTTCAGTTTTTTTCCAGTTTTTATAAAAAATAAATTGCTTTAAAAAATTATTTTTCGGGTATAGGTAATGAGTCTTTTTAATTAATTAATAGATATTTAAAATTGACCAACAGGATGATGACACGTGTCCCTCCGTTTAAATGAGGGGTATATTTGAACCTAAAGTATGACTGTAGGGGTATAGATAACCCAATAGTATAACGAGAGATATTCTTAGACTATTTTCGAAAGTAGATGGGGTATATTTGGCCCTTTGCTGTTTTAAGAATGAATTCATTATTTTTTACTTATATTGGCTTTGGAGTAAATAGTGTTAGAATATGTGTTAGGAATATTTATGATTATAAATAGTAAAGATTAATATAGTCAATTTTATTATTAATTAATGATAAAAGATGGATTTCTTAATCTGTGTGAAAATAAAGAAGAAGTCACTTGTGAACCGGAGGAAGTATCAAATATATGGTTGAACTTGGGGCCTTAAACAACATACTACCAATAATTTAGTTAAGTGCTGATTACATGTACATTTTTGTCGCTTGCTTAGTTTCGAAGACTTGAATTTCATTGTATTAACATAAAATATATTCTTAAGCTCAGATACTCGCAACTAAGTCTTCCTGGCAACAAAGATTTGGCCCACTGTTTAATGAAAAAGATTAAGAACTATGTGATTGTTTAAATTTTAGCGAAAGCACAAACTCAAAGTAATTTCTTTTCATTTGTAATTTTGGTGAACATAGCCGGTACCATGTGACACCACGGTTATTTTTAAAAATAAAAAGTAAATATACCCAAGATTACGCACATATCAAAAGAGTGTAGTGTGAAAGCAGAAATATAATTTAGGTGCCATTCACATGGGACTTTGGCATATATACTTTTGTTGTTCTTTCTTGTTTTACTGACTGGTCCAACCAGTCCCCCCCCC